ATGATGGTTCACTTTATATATATATACATATATACACACTCAAATGAAAAATTGGTTGCTAAGAAACCGATTTTTCAAGAGATTTCAACAATTTGCAAATTTTTTTGAGTGATAAATTGGTTGGTGGTGAACCAACTTTATCATACACAATAAATTGATACATGTAGATAAATAAAATGAAAGATATGTTATTTAGGCAAATAAAAAATAAAAGCAATATATTATAAAAAAAAGTCATATTTCATTTGTCATGTATGATTTTTTTTTTTTTAAGAGAGTTGATAATAAATTACTTTTGAAATGTTATAAAAGAATACATATGAAATAGTAACAATTTTTTTTTCAAGATTAAAATTGAAAAAACAATGAATTAGAGAGACAAAAATTATATTTAAGAAAAAAAAATAATAAATATGCCCTCTTCGTGTATAGTTGGGGATAAACGCTGATTTCATGTTTCAACCAAATTCAGTGGAATGGGCCCACCACCAGGTTGGAGTATGAATATGATATTAGTGGCAACGACGACGTTTATCGTTGGTATTATTGATACGGACGTTAAAGCTCAAGTCAACAACTGTTGACTAATTTTCGTTTGTGGTCTGAGTTTGCGGTTTCAGTGAAAGATCCCGTTTCTGTTGGACCTCTGATTCTGATTCCATGTTAGGGTTTTAAAGGATCCATCCAATTCCAGCTTCCTCTTTCCCATGGAATTGAAAAAGGGAAAGCTTGTAAGGTATCTTTCTTCATTCATTATCACTCGTTCCAGCTTCAAGCTTCAAGCTTCCTCCATGAACTCCTTTATAATGCATGAATTTTCATTTCATTTGGTTTTTTCCCGGCACTATTCAAACTCGTTCATTTACTGTGTATGATTTTTTTGAACATTTTTTTTTTTCTGTTTGGAATTTGTTTTCATTTGGGAAAGTAGTGATGTATGTTCTAAGAATTTGACATTATGTTATAGGTTCTACTCGGATGGCAAAAAGCGTAAAGAATCACTGTGGGGAGCAACTGAGCCTAGCAATTTGGTACCATCAGGGAAAAAGAGAATTGCTGAAACATTTAGAATTGGAGGGTCCAAGGTATTCCCGGAGGACCACGAGCCGTGGCGTAAGAGAATACTTGACCCGGGTAGCGAGATTGTGTTGAAATGGAACCGGGTCTTCATAGTTTCATGCTTGGTGGCTCTTTTTGTTGATCCATTGTACTTTTATTTGCCTAGTGTGGTTGAAAATACAGGGTCTTCATGTGTGAGGACGGACCTAACATTGCGGATTGTTGTGACCTTTCTTCGCACTATTGCCGACGTTTTTTATCTGTTGCACCTCATAATTAAGTTCAGGACGGCATATGTGGCACCAAGCTCGCGGGTATTTGGCAGGGGTGAACTTGTCATGGACCCAAAGAAGATTGCAAGGAGATATGTCAGATCTGATTTCTTCATTGATTTTATTGCCACACTCCCTCTACCTCAGGTTTGTTCTTCTTGTGTGGCAAAATGGAGATATAAAGTTTATTGAGGAAAATATATAGCAGAAAATAATCCTCGGGAAAAATGTACAAGTTTCTCTAGTCACCGTAAATTTATAATTTTGTGATATTATACATTGATGTAATAGATAAAGCTATTTATGTTGGTTTTAGTCCCATATCCATCCGGGACTGACATCCATGACTATGATCATGAATCATAATTTTGTGCACGTCACTGAAAGGCTTATCATTTGATCTTCCATCAGTTGACCACTAGTAGGTGGCCCACAAAATGTAATAGCTTATCATTTAGAAGGCCTTTTGCCTGTGGAGGTTAGACATATAGATAATAGCTGATTGAACTTTTTTTTTTTTTCAGATGGTCATCTGGTTTATTATACCAGCAACAAGAAGCCCTCAAACCGATCACAAGAATAATGCACTTGCATTGATTGTTTTGCTCCAATATATTCCTAGATTATATTTGATTTTTCCATTAAGTTCTCAAATAATCAAAGCAACAGGTGTGGTTACGAAGACTGCTTGGGCAGGAGCTGCATATAATTTGCTGTTGTACATGTTAGCTAGCCATGTATGTAGTTTCAATTGGTTTTATGTTTCCATTCTTTAATTATGTGTAACACTCTCTCTCACACACACAAACATACCAACATTGTCTGTACTCCTTGAAGTTTGAGACTTGTTGGGGCTAAGTCTAATTTTCTTCTATAAGAATATATGTTTCTATTTTGTTGTTGCAGGTTTTAGGGGCAGCTTGGTATCTTCTTTCTGTGGACCGATACACTACTTGTTGGAAATCCTTTTGCAAAAAGGAAAGTAATCCTGAAAATTGCTTCATTTACCTAGACTGCAGTTCTTTGAATATTGAGCCGCGCAAGATATGGGCAAATGGTACAAGTGTGTTTAACAGCTGTGATCCCAGTAATGATGATATCAATTTCAAGTATGGAATATTTGAAAATGCAGTAAAGAAACATGTTGTGTCTTCAAACTTCATTCCAAAATACCTTTATTGTTTATGGTGGGGATTGCAGCAATTAAGGTATGATTTGGTATTTCCACGAGTACTGCAAATTAATTTTATAAGTGAAGCATTTAATTAGTTCATGTTTTGTTGAATTTGTCCACTTTCTGATTTAATTCATCTTAACAAGATAATGCTGACTGCAATGCATTCTTTAAAATTATAATGCTTAAAATGGAGGAAAAGAGACTGTAGATACTCCGAATAATATGAAATTATATTCATATGAGATTTGATAGATGTGTTGTATAATACAAATCTCTAAACAACTGTTTATAGTAATAGGTAATCAGGTACCTCTATGATATGGTTCTAGGCTGAATTGGTAAATGATATATATAATGGTGGATGAAGGGGTCCAGATACTGGATCAGCACCTAAAAGTGCATACAATTTGGAAAGTGTATTCTACAAGGAATAAGAATGGCCTTGGAATGATTGAATTAGCTGAAATTGCAGGTGGTTAGAAATTAGGGGAAATGGCATATGTGAGTAAAGGGATTTAGGAGTCTGTGAGTGTGGGAATGGGAGAGATGAACATTGTGGTTTTTTAGGCATATAGCTCGGTGTACAATATTTTTCTGAGTTACTCAGGCTCTGGTCTTTCTTTTGTCACAGTAAAAGCTCATTGAGCTCCCTTTCAAATCTAATAGACTCTTTAAACCTGAATTCTAGTCACACTACTAGTACAAATCAAGTCTTATGTATTAATATATTAAGGCCTTTTTAGCTTAACAGCTACTTTAAAGTTAAGCTCAAAGTAAGAGCTTTGAAAGTAAAGTAGCTGTTTGGAAGTTCTCCTTCAGGTTAAAAGCTCTTTCAAAGCTAAAGGTTACTTGGTAAATTTTTTTAAGAACTTCAATTTTATTTAAAAATACTCGCCAATGATGTCAAATTATATTTTAACTGAACAGTTTAGATCCCTTCTTTTTAGTCCCTATGGTTGTCTTATCCTCTTGTCTAACAATAACACTCCTCAAGAACAACCTTGTCCTCAAGGTTGAACTCAGGGAACTAGTCTCTCATGGTCGAGGCATCTTCCCATGTTGCTTCTTCATGAGGTTTGGTTTGCCACTGCACCAAGATCTGCTGCATTTGGGCTCCATACTTTGTTGTAATGCGGTGCTTTAGGACTCTCTCAGACTGACAACAAGCTGAACTGCCCTGAAGATATGCAGGTATCTCTGCTTTAATTGCATGATCCCCTACGACCTTAAGTTGGGATACATGGAAAACAGGGTGGATTATGGCGTTCTCTGGTAACTGCAATTGGAAAGTCACAACTCTTATTTGCTTAATAACAAAATATGGACCATAGTACCTAGCTGATAGCTTGGGGCGGAGAAGGTGGGGTCCTTGTCACTAACAATTGATGTTGTAGTTGAAAGAGAGGATTCTATTAATTTGTTTCACAATAATTACATTCTTCTCTTACCCTATTATAGAGATACATATGAAAATAAACAAAAATAAAGGAAATAAGGGAAGATTATAAAATAATATCAAATCTCCTAAGATACTTTTATTTACAATACTTCCTCTCAAGTTGGAAAATGAATATCAATCATTCCCAACTTGCTTATCAACTCTTGAAATCTACTATTAAGAAGTCCCTTAGTAAGTACATCTACCACTTGGAGTTCTGTAGTGATGTGAGCTGTAACAATAATACCACTGTCCAACTTTTCTTTGATGAAGTGTCTATCTATCTCAATATGCTTGGTCTTGTCATGTTGAACTGGATTGTGAGCAATGTTGATGGCTAACTTGTCACAAAACAACTTCATAGGTGGCTCTATTTTAATTCTAAGGTCATCAAGAATAATCTTCATCCATAGCCCTTCACATATTCCCTGTGCCAAGTCTTTGAATTCAGCTTATGCACTAGTTCGAGCAATTGCATTTGATTTCTTACTTGTCCAAGTCACCAAATTCGCCCCCCCACCCCCAAGAACATGCAGTATCTAGAAGTAGATCTCCTATCTATTATTGACCTTGCATAATCTGCATTAGTATAAATCTCCATAGACATGGTGTCTCTTCTTCTAAATAATAATCCCTCCCTAGAATCGACTTCAAGTACTTAAGGATCATGTCAACTACCTGCATATGCCTTTCTTGAGGGTCATGCATTAACTAACTAACTACACTCACAACATAAGCAATGTCTGGGCTAGTGTGTGATAGGTAAATTAGCTTTCCTCCAATTTCTAGTATTGAGACTTTTCTATCGGAAGACTTTTTTCACTTCCAACAAGCTGATCTCTTCCCTTATGACATTTAGAATTTTTAATGATTGGAGCAACCCTGAGGGAGAAGCCTGGTATTTGGTGCGCTGACATGTGTGACAAGCTACTGCAAAATTTGTTACTGGGTCTGTCATTCCAGACCAGAGAAGTGACTGTGTCATTCTGCAATATGTTCTATAAATGCTAGAGTGTCACCCCATAGGGTAGGAGTGGAATTCTTGTTGAAGTTTTGTAGGTTGAAGAGGTTGCCTACACGGCTACACCATCCTTCCTTTATAATGCAGTCTGCCATTTTCCAAAGTGTAGTGAGGGTGATTGGGTGAGAGTTAGGATCCAACTTCAGTTCTTCCATTATTTTGGCTAATATGGGTTCAACCCTTACTTCTTCATCTATGACAAAGATATCTTGCCAAAATGGTTTGGAAATCACTTATATTTCCTTTTCCTGTTATATTCTTGAGAGTGCATCAGCCACCGTATTTGAGGCCCCTACTTTATACACAAAATCAAACTCATAAGCCAATAGTTTGGCCAACCAATTCTGTTGGTTGAGTTGTAATCCCCTGTTTTAGTAGGTGCCTTATACTCTTATGGTATGTACATAAATAGTGAATTTATGCTAGGGGTGTAAGTGGGTTATGTTGGGCCGGATTTGGATGAATCTGTTACCCGACCTGATTAAATTAGGGATTGTGCATTTTTTTCTTGAAATCTAACCCAACCCAATCAAATGGGTTGGATTGGGTTGGGTCAACATAATTAAATTTATTTATTTTTGTCAATATTAAGATTTTTCATAATAAATGCAAATCATTTGATATTTTGTTGCAAATGTAATGTTTTCAACATATAAAAAAAAATAATGATACAAACTAAATTTCAAAATAAATTTGTTGATTTGCTATATTATTATCAACTCAAACATTAATATAAAATAAATATATTGTGTTGTTATAATGCTATCAACCCGAAAACACAAAACTTGGAACTGAGCAAGAGTGAAAGAGAGTATTGTCTTAAGCAAGTGATCATCCAAACATTAACTTATTATTATTATTATTATTATTATTATTATTATTATTATTTATTTTTATTATATATGACCGAGTCAGGTCAAGGGTTAAAAAACACATAATCCGTTACACTAATAAAATTTGATCCAAACTCATTGGATCGGTTTTGGTTAGTTCGGATTCGCGAGTTACCTATATTTGCTTACACTCCTAATTTCTACCCCAAAAGGTAAGGTCTCTGGTGTTGGATGACAAGCACTAATGCCATTAATTCCTTCTCATAAACAAACTTGGTGAGGGATGTATCAACTAAAGCCTTGCTGAAGAACACTATTGGCCTTCTATTCTGAGCCAACACTTCTCCTATATGTTTTCCTGACGCATCACATTCAATAGGAAAGGATCGAGTAATATTGGGCATGGCCAGTACTGGTGCAGAGGTGACTGCTTCCTGAAGTTGCCTAAACGCCTCTATACTGTCCTCCTTCCATTCAAAATTTGCCTTAAATAGATTAATTTAAGGACGAGCTATTTTCCCATCATTGCATATGAAGCACCTATACTATCTTGTGAAGCCCATAAAACCCCTCAAACCCTAGACAGATTTAGGAAGGGGCCATTGTAGTATGGCCTCAACCTTTTGAGGGTCATGGATACCCCATTTTAGAAATGATGTGTCTTAGGTAGCCTATCTCAGTTTTTCCAAAGCAACTCTTCTTCTTATGGCAAAGAAATCATGCTGCCTTAGAGTCTCCAACACCTGCCTCACATGATCCAAGTGCTCCTCCCAAGTCCTATTATTTACCAATGTCACCAAAAAAACACGACAACATGCCTTCTCAGAAAAGGCTTCAATGTCAAATTCATGGCACATTTGAAGGTTGATGGGGCTTTGGTTAGCCCAAACATCAGTACTAGAGATTCAGCGTCCCTGATGGGTTCTAAAAGCTATCTTAGGAATATTAGGTTCATTCATTCTAATCTGATGGTACCCTTCCTTTAAGTTTATCTTTGAAAAATCCATTCAATTCATCCAGAAGTTCTTCAATCACATGTATAGGAAATTTATCTGAATTGTATCTTTGTTCTGAGCCCAATAGTCCATAGAAAACCTCCAACTCCCATCCTTTTTTCTTTACTAGGATCGCTAGGCTGAGTAGGAGTTGTTATTGGGACTAATAACCCATGCGGCCAACATCTCTCTAACTTGCTTCTCAATTTCATTCTACTGCTGATTAGGGTAATAATGAGGCCTCAAATTGACGGGATCCACCACTACCTTGAGTGGAATTTGGTGATCCACCTTCCTGCAAGGAGGTAAACCCTTAGGTTCCTCAAAAACATGTATAAAATCCTCTAATAACTCTTGCAACTGCCTTTCCTGCTCTGTTGGCAGCTTCTTGTAGTCTCCTACCTCCTGTTCCATTATCCAAACCATGGATTTTGTCTTCACATTCTTTTCTGTCAGTTTCAACAAGGTTCTGGCCGAAATTAAGGACCTGGCTAGACTAAGATCCCCCTGGACCTTGATATTCTGTTTTTGGTGTACAAAGGTAATGCTTAAGGTTCCCCAGTGGGTGAAGTGCGTAGTTGTTGGGGTGTAAGGGCTATAGTAAACAAATTAGGGTTGGGAAAATTGTGCCAGTGGGCACAAATATTTATTTATTATTTTTTATCTCTTTTTGGTTTGGCTTGATGGGCCCAATTGAGATAACTTTTATTTTTACTTCTCTTTATTTTAAATTATTATAGTTCAAAGAAAATTTTTAAGTGACAAATTTAATATAAGGCTATAAGCACTTTGTTTCCTTTAATTCTTTGTTTTATGTTTTGTTCAAGTACTCTGAATTTTTATTTTTGAAAATAATTAATGCATAAGTTTTGAGTTATTTTTCTGTTTTTGAGGGGAGGATGAGAGAATAGATGAAATTCTTGAATCTCAAAAATAAAAAACAATGTAAATATCCATATGTTTGACTTGCACTCTGGGTTTGTCTATCTGGAACTGTCGTTTCCTTCATAATTCTAATCCTTCTCCCAGCCTAATTGATACCCCACTGGTGTACATCTAATTTACTTGATTTAGACTTAAAATGAATGAACTATGCCCATTTTACTATAAGCGTAACCACTTAAGAGTCCAGCACCTCTGCTCTAACTATAAGGCCAAATTTCTCCTTTGAAAATAACATACAAATTAGTTAAAGTTATCTCCCACAAAAGTTGTAGTTCTTTTTCCCACAATTCCTAGCATTTATAAAGAACATAAAAATCAAAGATCTTTAGTTTAATTTATTGCCAAGATACAATGTAAAAATGTAAAGCTGCTGTTAAAATGTAAATGTAATAAAGCCCAATTTGTCTTAGAAATTTAAATTAGTGCCATGACCAATATATTAAGATAAAAAATCTCATTAATTGGGTAATTTCAGAGGTAAATGAATTTGTCAAAACAGCAGTTATTATACAACCTTTTTGCTCAAAATCTTTTTTTTGAAGGAAAAATAATTAAAGTCAGATTTGCATCAAGTTGGTAAAGGGATGAAAGATGCTCCTATATGTAATGGATAACAATAAGAATACTATAATATAGGCACACTTTATGTAGACTGTAAAATTGCATGTGGCAGGGAGTTTGTAGTTATCTCTTAATTTTAATACTTGTTGCTGATAGATGATATTGTTTGTTGATGCTCGTTCTTTTAATACGTTTGGCTTTGTTTCAGTTCTTATGGACAGAACCTAGAAACTAGCACTTTTATAGGAGAAACATCATTTGCTATTGTCATTGCCATCTTGGGTCTTGTATTATTTTCCCATTTGATCGGGAACATGCAGGTATTTACATATAACTTGTTCAGTCTACTTTTATGTATAATTAAAATCTAAATTATCAAAAGTTTCGAATTTGAAACTGTGACTAGTGTCTATGGAACTTAATGATATATATATATATATATATATATA